AAAAAAAAAAAAAAAATCTTTACTGAAAGCAGTGACATTTGCTTATCACTCTGACATTGGCAGTCCAACAGTCGTGAGAAAGTTGAAATATCGGCAAAATTCATTATCATGCTGTGATTTTGCAGCAACATACACTTAACTGAGATAAGATTAGAAATTCCATCCAGCTTGAAATATGTCACAGGTCTTCACTGAAACACTAGCAACATGGTGATGAATGAGTAAAATCCATTCAGTGTTTACGGCCATATCTTATAGGTAGAGGGAGAAGGCAAATACATAGAGCAAAGCATCAGCCTGTTCTGGTTACATCAAGGGGCTAGTTCAGAGGGAGGTCTGGGCCCTTGTCCATCACACACAGACACATGGACCAGCATGCACCACTGCCACGTAATTATTCCATCCATCCTGTCACTGTGTGTTTCAACTTATCTCCTCTGCTGATTCTGAATTATTATTGTGAGTGCTCTGATTATTGAATGGAAATAAATAATAATTTGTCTGTGGTGAGAGTTTTGTTGTTTTGTTCGTTTGTTTGTTTCCGTGAACATATTTCTTCATACATTTTTTCCAAAGATTAGTATGAGGTCCCAGTGACCTTTTACCACTGAAATGTGTTCACTGAATCTTTGAGACCAGTGAAAACTGATCAGAAGTTGAAGAAATTCCCTTAACTTTCATGTTTTTTGAGGCAAACTTGAACTTTGAGCACCAAAATCCACTCAGTAAGTCCAAGTGAATTGTACCGGATGTAATGAACTTCGACTCGAAACAGCTGGTAGGGCACGCACAAACGTGAACGTGGTTCCAGGCAGGAGGGTAACAATGGACATTTAGACTAAAAACACAATGTAAATGACACAGTTTGGAGTCAAATGTGAATGTTGAAGCTTACAGACACTTGGATGACACCACACGAACAGTATGGAGTTATTTTTTGTATTTTTCTGTTGTTTTTTTTCTGTTTGAAGACGTGGTCGCCAGTTAATTCCATTGTTTTGGATTTGGCTGCATCGTTGTTTACCCCGTAAACTCCAAAAGTGTTTTGTTGGACTCAAAAACTTCACCCACCACTCCACTGGCATAGTGGTAAGATAATGAGTGAATTTTCATTTTTCGGTGAACTATCCCTTTAACCTTTCACATTTCACCACCAAAATCTAGTCATTTCATTTTTGAGTCCAAGTGAATGTTTCTACCAAACTTGAAGAAATTCCCTGAAGGCATTCTTGAGCTATCCTGTTCACGAGAATGGGATGGATGGGCGAACAGACCGACAACCAGAAAACATAATGCTGTTTTTTTGTTGGAGGTGGAACACTTGGTGTAGCAATCAAAGGTCAAGTGCAATTAAAACACATTTAGCAAATAGATTATGACAAAGAAAAACCATATGACTTAAAATATTGCTCTGCTCAAGTCGTGATGAAATATGGCCTCAGATGAGCATGTGGTGCGATGAGGACATTTTCAGTGTTCACTGTGACCAAGCTGTCCATCATGTTAACACATTCATGATTTTCCTTCCATTAAACTTTGATCGGTGCTCTTTTCATTTAATTTAATTGTCATGTTGTTGGACCTATGACTGCAACAGATGGTGCCTAACTGAAGAATTAGTGCACCTACGGCTGATTATTATTTCAGGAATCAACTTGTTACATTTGCATTAGAGCAGTGGATGATAAGAAACACAACAACAAATTCATATTTTTTACTTTTGTCGATTTACTGAAAATTCAGTTTAAATTAGTCACACATTTGGGTGGAAACTGCTGCTCTGTTGACATGCAGCAATGTGTTCGCCTGTGTGTCTAACAACCTGGATTTCCAGTCCATAATCTGTGTTTGTGTAACTTGTGCACATACACGCTACCTAACAGAGAGAAGGCAGAGCAGCAGTACCTCATTGACGTTGATGCCGTGTTTCTTCATGTAGTCTTTGTCATTGACCTGGCCACCCTCAGCAAACTCCATGGTCAGGATCCTCTTTGTGGACAGATCCCAGTGGATCATGGGAACCTTTGGATAGAAAGGTAGGAAGGAGGGGGAGATGTTTTTTGAAACTGTTTCTTTTCCTTTTTTTAAATTTAATTTGTGAAATGTGAGAACAGGAAGTGATGTACAAGATAAGATAAGATACCATGATATAGTCACATGATGGAAGGACATAAAGACAGAACATAATGCAGTTAAAGGGACGGTTCACAGACAAATTTAATTCACTCATTATCTACTCACCACAATGCTGATGCAGGGGTGGGTGAAGTGTTTGAGTCCACAAAACACTTTAGGAGTCTCATGGGTAAACAGTGTTGGAGCCAGATGTAATAAAACAACAGAAAACAAAACACAACATGCCTCTATACTGCTGGTGTGGTGTCATCACAGTGTTCGTGAGCCCCGACATTCATATTCAACTCGAAACAAGGTCATTTACACCATTGTTGAAGCCTAAAAGTCCACTAAAGTGGTGATGCCAGCAGACGAAGCCACAGGAACGCCCACCCCACGCGTAACCTTGGGCGAGAGTGTGTGCGCCACTTTCCGGTGTGCAAGTGCTTACCAGAACGTGCCTCCGAGGAGGATATCAGAGGACATTTAGGCTTAAAACATGGTGTAAATGAAGTTGTTTCAAGTCAAATTTGAATGTTGGGGCTTACACCACACGAGCAGTATTTTCTGTTGTTTTATTTCGTCTGAAGAAGAGTTCACTAGTTACTTCAATTGTATTGGATTCGGCTCCAACGCTTTTTACCCCTAAGACTCCCGAAGTGTTTTGTGGACTCAAACACTTCACTACGCCTCCATCTACATAGTGGTGAGTAGATGAGTGAATTTTCATTTTTCAGTGAACTATTCCTTTAATGTCTTTGTTCCGGGTCAGATAACCTGCGAGGTCAGAGAAAAGATTTTCGACGGTCAGGCTGGAAAAGCCTACGTTTAGGCGAAGGGAGAGGAACCAGAAGCTGGGGAAGTGAGCCGAGCTACGTGCTAGGCTAAAGGCTAGGCTATAGGCTAACCCATACAGACCAGCTCTCCTGCGTCTGTTCCTCGCCAACTCCGTGTCTCTTACAAACAAGATGGACAAAATCAGAATGAGAAGTACGTTACATTACCTCATGGCTATGCATCCTGCAAACAGTTGTGTGTAATGGTGTGGCTTGATGTTCAAGCAAACTTAAAACTCCTATACTTTTGGTGGGTGGCAACCAATGTCAAGGTGTATTACCGCCATCCACTGTGTTTCAATATCCTACTTCTTTTCCCCATTTGGAAGTGTATCTCTAATTATACTTGATATCTGATATCTTCTTCTTCCTCTTCGTTTGGTCTAGTGGCGGGTGACAACCTGCTGTATTGGAGTGTAAATCAGATAATGCACCATACTCTATTTTCCAATGGTAAATACTATTTCCAAGCTCAGTTCTTCCATTCCATGCTTTGCAATTTATTTCTTTGGCTTTTCTTGTTCTCTAAAATACTGTTTAAATAGAGCAATCGCATAAACCTGTTGGATGTCTTTTTATTAAGTGCAGTGTATGATTGAGTCTGGTATGTCCTATCCTCAGCCTGTCTTTGGTACTCCTTTTTGCTGTCCTCACTGTGTTCACTTCCTGGTGTACTGCATAAAGGTGTCGTCCTGTGTGAGCGATTCAAAATTATAACATTAATAATGTTAATAATTAAATATATATGTTTCCTTCATATAGATATTATGAGTTAAAGCATGTCAAAACTTTGGAAATTCAAAAGTTTAATTATTTTTCCAATTAAATAAACTGGAGTTTTACTGGGTGTACAAGAAGGCATTTGCACCAAATTGTCTGCCATTGTGCCAAGTAGTATGTCTCTCTCACAAAGCACTTATAGAATTAAAAAAGAGCTGAATAAAAAAAGCAAATGACAGAAAAGAAGACAAAACTAAATAAGTTTCAACTGTCTGGATTTGAACATGGAACAAAGAAAGGCAGCTGGAAAGAGAAATCTATTTCACATTCAGCAGAGCTAATAAAGTTCTCAAAGAGACATATTAAGAAAAAGCACACAAGGAAATTAAATGATAATGGACATAAAGTCCAACTCTGCCTAGTAAAAGAAGCATGATTTATGTTGTTCTGCTAACCCTGCTATTAGAATTGAGGATGAGCCGACAGGCGGTACAGAGGATCCTGTCATAAACAGTCAAAAGTATGACCTCTATTAACTGCACTGAGTAACTGCACTGGGTACAATTTTGAATAGTCGGGCCTTAGATTAAAAAAAGACTGTATTTGATTATTACCCACTGTTTACTGGCATGTGTGCAGGGATAGTGCTAACCAGGTCAAAAATAGAATGTCATGAACTCCAAAGGCTCTTTGAAAGAAAAGGAAGCCTAGCATTTACCTTGAGGAAGGGGTAGTGGGCTAGCATGCTGGCCACCCTCTCTGCATTGTGTCCCTCATTGATGAAGTCCAGCTCCAGTGGCATGTTCTTCTTGGCCTCTTCCACCAACCACATGAAGGCAAAGTCAGGGAATAGCTTATGGACTGCCCTCAACAATACCTTCAAATTACAAAATATTAGAAGCAGTCATTCTGTCAAGTCAGAATAGAAGAGGCACAGGAACATCACAGTAATACTGGCATTATTTCCAAAACATGTTGGAAACTTTGCTCTAATGTTTTGCTCCATGTTGAAATTACCATCACATGATTTCTGTACATTAGTCAGTTGCACCTTCAAGCTCCCAATGTCCTGTTCAACAACACCCAGAGGTTCTACTGAATTCATATCTGCTAACTTTGGAGGACACTGAAGTTCACTGAACTTGTGTCTCTGAATTTTCTGTATTGCACTGATACTACATGATTGTTTGAATGAATAAGTGGGTGCAGGTGTGCTCAGTGAGTTTACAGTGCTGTCCTGTCAACAGCTACCGTTTTATACCAGTATTACTGGCTGAGTCAAGTTTGAAGACAGAAGCAGCTGTGAAAACTCTATATAAAACCAATTAAAATATTGTGCTGTTCTTGTTAGTAAACTGTTATCTTACTACAAAGATGCACTTTATTTTGCACATGCCGCAACAATGTCACCAAACAATTATGTTGTGTAATAGCTTATGTTCACTCATGAGATGGATGTAAACAAACCAAAACGGTGTCTTTAAATTTTATTCATTTTATTTACCCACTTAATGTAATTTTGTACTGGGTTCTGAGCCATGCCAAACATGGGTGAACTACACTCAACTGGTGCCTGAATGCATCTCGAGTAGAGACACAAGAAGGACTGAAGTTGCTGCTGCTGCTTTGCTAAAGTGCAAATATTTTACAATTTTATCTGTGAACATTTCAACGCATTAGTCTTTACTTCTTTTTTTTTTGTACTTAATTTTTCTTACATGCTGTTGCGTAGAACAACACGTATCAGTGGTTTGAGTTCAGTATATCACTAGTCTGTGTCTCAGAACCGTGAGCCAAAAAACACTTCATCACTTATTTCAAAAAGGTTTTTAACAGAAACGTCCTCACCTCCATCACCACTATGTCCTTGGAGCTTTGTCTCTGGACTTTGGGGTGTTGGACCTTGACAGCCACTGTCCTTCCATCATGAAGCACTGCCTTGTGGACCTGGGCTAAGGAGGCTGTACCCTGAGGCTTCTCCTCAAAGGAGACAAATAACTCGGACAGCTGCAGGACAGAGATAGGGATGGGGAAGAAAGGAGTGGGAGAGAGCAGAGGATAAATGAGGTACAGATAATGATAAAGAAGACAGGAGAGGAAGAGAGGCATGGGAGTGGGGGAATAATGTGATCATCAATCTGATCATCTCCATTTACAAGCTACTAGATAAATTACAACTGAAGGAGGCTGAACTAATTTAAAGAGTAGATGTGTACATGTGGATATAAAGTAAATTAGATTATTCTCTTTTTATGTAAGCAAAATATTGATTTTTTATGTCATGGTGACAACACAAGACCCAGGAGGAAGTAAATGCAATGTGCAATGATGCTATCATGGTGGTTGGTATTAGGCTTGTTGTGTTTGACACTGTTGAACTGAAACCAAACTAAGAATGAGACCAAGGGGAGGCAGATAATGTGAGGTAGAGTACTGAAATAGAGTCACAACAATGATGGATGGAGAGATGAATGTTAACTGACAAGTGAATTCTCAAATACTGACTTTATTTACCTCAACTGCAGAGAGAAACAGACAAGGCATTTGTCTGAATCATATAATCTATAATCTGATTAGAGTTGACACCTCTAGTCATCTCCAGCCAATCAGATGGCAGGATGGGGTGTAGGTGGTGAAGGTATATGTGGTGGTAAGGTGACCCCTAATATTTTTTTACACTGTACATGTCTGTAATTGGGGAAATCCACGTGTCAGGGACAGGGTTACACAACTCAGTGCAGTTTATATTAACTGCACCAGGCTCTGGTTAGATTTGGACAAACACAAAGAAAAATAATACGTGTTGGGTTCAGGCTTGGCTCGGTTAGTTTCCTCTTGGACTTGTGTCATGTTCTGACTGAACAATGCATCCTGAGCCACTCTCTATTGACACCCAATAGCAAAGGGGTCAGTCATTTTCAATAGTGATTAAGCATAGTTTGGGGACCAGTCAGGAGGTTTCTCCTTCATTGTGTACTGTATGACCTGCATATATATTAATCTCCCTAGTTAACAGCCATTTTATTACTTACAGCAAAGTATATTGTAAATGTGGCATCTGCTTTTTAAATCAAAATCGAGCCACTTCAGTAATTTTACTGCATTGGTGTAGTAAGATTATTTTCCCCTTTGATATATTTTTTATAGTTTTCTGGGGCATTGTCAATACATCCTAGTGTGAAGTGAAAAATCAATGAAAATGTGCTTTAAAACAAACTACAGAGGTCAGAGAGCAATTGCATTCAATTTAAGGGGACTGTTGGGCCTTGTTAGAGGTATGCTCTCTACTGAGTGCCATTCTAGTTTTATCTGTTACAAATCGGTAAGATTTGAGGAGTGAGAAACTCAAATGTCTTCCTTGGTGGAAGGGGACTTTTCTTTCCAGTGTGACCTCTCTGTTGAATGCAATCTGGTTAGGCAGCAGTCAGATAGCAGTAAAGCAATTTTGGTGACAGAGGAGGGGGTTAAAGCGGTTTCAAAGATCATTAAGCTGAGAAATGCTGAGGCTCCCGATGGGATCAAAGGAGTGATTTGAAGTGTCACGATCAATGGAGTCCTGTGTTGGTGTGTCATTACATACAAGCTCAACACCATGAAGAACATTTCTTACAGCACCTGAACGCCAATGTAATGGTACAAGCAATATGTTTTTTATTTTATTATCCTAGTAACATGTCTGGTTTGTGAAACAAGCATGTTGTTCATTTGTGCCATGGAACTCCATTGCTTTCAAAAAAACATTGAGCCACACTGTTGCACTGGGAGACATGTTCCTTTATGACCATCACACATGCACAGTAGTTGATTTTAAATAAGTCCCACATGCACTCACACACTGCCAGAAATACACACTATAGAGCACCAAATGTGGATTGCTGAAAATAGTCCCCAACAAATACTATAATTTATAAAATACAGTGGACGGATGCTTTAGGATTTTTCTCGACATTATATTTGTGAGTGCCTTTTACATGATCAGACACTTAGAGTTTGTGCTGAATAATTGAACTTATCCATCGGCATAGTGATTAGTAGTTAATAAGTGAATTTTTCATTTTTCGGTGAATTATCCCTTCAAGGTTGCTTGATTTATTCTTTAAAAGGAGGTCAGGCCTTCTCCATTTCTTAAACTGAGCAGGAGGCTTGCAGGAAACACTGTAGTGATCACAATACAATCTGCTGATAAGTTTGCTTAATTCAGGAGGAAGTAATAACAGAGGGCAGTCCGATCGTCTTTCTGTGGATTAAGAGTAATTTCCTTGAACACAATATTACCAAATTAATGACATGCTAATTGAGTTTGGAGCCAGCCAAAACATACCCATGACATTGTTTATACAGTGAGAGTAACAACAACAGTATACTTGGGAACAGTGAGAAACGGGGAAAAAAAACAACCCAGATACCAATAACAAGGACCACTAAAGTCACTTCTTTAATACGATCAGTTGTGATAGCGACTGTTGTCATACAGAGAAAGACACAGCGCTTGATACCTCTACTGTAAAGATGCTGTTTCTGTGTTGCCTCTTGATGTAATCCCTTTACAAATCTCTAAAACACTGCTTAACATTTTGCATCTAGTAGTGCACCCCTTGAGCAGAGGTAGTCCCTCATTAGCTTCCACTTAGCCCTGTGGACATAGAACACGCACACACATTAATTAGTGTGTGTGGGTTTGAAGGTTAAAGAGGCTTCCCAAGGGACCTGGAGTCATTACAAGAGACTTATTGTATGCTCTGGAACCTCCACAGCACCCCGAGGCGGATCTGCCTCATGGATACAAACCTGTGAACTGAAAAAAGGTGGCGTGCATCGTAAAAGAGCACCATTTCTACTTAGTCCCACACACCTTAATGCACTTTAAGTATTAAGTGTTATTCTCAGAGCCAATGATGCTTTAACCAGACAAACCTGCACAGACACATCTGACTCATTATTACTCACTAATGTTTCAATACCAGGAGCAATGCCAGGAAAACGCCAGTGAGGAAGCTGAACTGTGCCACACCTTTAATAGTCCAGCAGGGGGACTTTATTGAGTTGTTGCTTTATGTAACCATCTGGAATATTCAGGTCTAAAATTCTTCATCCGGTTAAGATACATGGTCGCTCTTCTTCATCTACAACAGTCTAATATTTAACATTTTCAGCTTGTGCTGGCTTGGTCTAGGTGAAAGACTGTATGTCCTAATTCATATTCATACTTCAAACTGTACCATGGGGGGAATTCCCCTGTTGTTAGTACCTGGCGAATCATAAAAAGTGGCTAATTTGAACATGATGTTGGCCCATCAGGTAAAGGCTGAACATGAGCCCTCTTGAAGATGCCATCAGATCATAAATTGTGCAAGTGGCACGGGATCCTCTGTGGGAACAGCTGAGTTATTCATTATGCAAATATGCTAAATGGAATGAAATTGTCTACACCCACCAGTGTCCTCCCTCTATGACGATGAGACATGTGTGTACTGCAAGGAAACATATACTTTCTCAGATGGACCTAGCATTCTAAGCAACATTGAGAAATCCAACTGAAATATAAACACGGACAATTTAAAGGTTTGGATCATTTTGACATAATATTTTTAGAAAATGTTGTCACTAACAGCCCAACCTCTTGTCATGCAGGGTTTGCGATTGTAGTTGTGTAAACATTGGCCTGTAGCTTCTGGTTCAAAGCTACCACCCAGTCACTGCTTATGCTAATCTCAGCAGTGTGAGTTAATAAACATGGTAATGTATGCGTGTGGGCCCCAGTCCCAGAGGGGAGACCCCCAGTGACATATGTTCCCTGAAATGAGTTATGGCACAAATAAAGTGGCCCCCGAGGCATCACAGTTGGACGGCAAAGCATCGGTGTCTCTGGCAAGGTGGCCACTTTGGATGCGGGCATATATCATTACAACACAGACAACAAGTAATGAGAGAGATTACTTTACTGATGAGGGGAAATCAAAGTCTCAACTCCACAATCCCTATTGTCCGTGTCCAAGTGTTCCACTGTGAGGCTCAGGGTCTGATAATAAAGTAGGAATCTGTATAAATACATACTGCAAACCTTCACACAGGTCAATTTACTTCAACTGGGCCTTTGGTTGAGTTTATACTGGCTAAACACCTTAACTCCTAATTTAGCCTGTTTTATATGTTCAATATTTAAATATATACTTTAAAGATGCCTTCAGATTTTCTGATCCCCTCCAATTTTAATTTGCCATTGTAGGAAACTCAACATAACTTATCATCTGACAGAAAAAAAATGATCTCTTCCACATATTTTTTGCAATTGCTTAAATTCTGCCATTTCGATTGCTACTGTCAATTAATCTTAAAATTCTCACACACAGTTTCATATAGAGAATTGGTACTTTGGAGGAAATAAAGTTTGCATAATATTTCATTCCACTCTT